AGAAGTGCATGAGGGGTATTGTGTTCAAGCACTTCTTGAATGGGTGACATTTTGAACGCACATGGATTTTTAATATCGTTGCGTACGAAAAAACTGTAATTACGACACTTACACATAAACAATGACACAATACACCGCCAAATCCTGCACACATATATCGTTTATATGTCCATTTGTATGCCCAATGTGACAAAAGGGCAAGCTGTATATGCCGACTCCCCCCCCTGGCCACGCCGGCCGTGTTGCTCTACGGTTAAGTGACTTCGTTTAATAATTCAATATTAGTATATTGTGAGCAACGACAAGATTTGAAATAACAATCATTAAAACAAGTTTAGTATATTCTTATTATTATAAATTACGATGAATTCATTTATTTTATCTTATTATCATTGTATGAGCCACATTATTGCTAATGTATTAGTTTAAAGTGTTAGAGTATGATAATGGCTTTGAGTAAAAAACGAATTGTGAAACATGTGTCATTGGTTACTTTACCTGTTATAAAACAACAAATAGTGTTGTTATATACGTTATTGAACTTAATATTACTATATCGTCGAATTAATAATAAAAAAAAATAGGTAATAATTGTAGTTTTGACTGAAAATACTGAAGGTAAAATTATATTGTCAGACTACTTTGTATATGAACGTACCGACTTGAAATATATTTTATACGATATAAAAAACATATCAATAAAAGCTGTCACACAAAATATCTGCACAAATACGTTTAAAAAAAGGTAATAGGTATATTAATAATAATCATAGCGAATTTTCATAAGATTACTAACATATTTTAATTCATCATAAGATTACTTCATCACGAAACCTTAAAGACTAATTTATATAATAAATAATAAAAAATCCGGCTGTACCTAATTTTTAATACATTTGACCTATAAAATACTACAAAAATACTACATATTGTGATTAAATCAATATACTCCCGCAATAAATTAATAAAAATCACATTATCTACTCGTGATGTTTATACATATTGTAATTATAATTGAAATCTTCTTAAAGCTGTCATATCATGTTCATTACAACATGAATAAAAATATTTTTTATAAATTAATAAAACAAATCTTGTTTGCGGATTTCCAAATTACTATGACAATGGTGTCAATTCTAGCACTATTTTTTAAACCTAAACTTAAGTTTAACAGCAGTATATCCTTGTCATTCTCTATACAGCATGAAAAGGAGAGTCTGATGTTAAATTTAGTTTTAAGTTTAGAGAATCACGCCAGAATTGGCACCAATGTCAACTAACTATACTTTCTTTGTAGAAAAAGATTATACTTAAAACCTAGATACCGTAAAGATATTATAAATACCATCTGATCAATTAATACAATATTAAAGACGTGTAAATAATAAATAAATGTAATTAATTATATGCTCGCGATAATATCGGTTTCAGTTTGAGCACTCTTAAATGATTTTTGAAGTGAAAACTTCTTTAGCGGCGTTGTACACTTTTTTTATAATGGGTAAAAACTGTTAAACTCGCGTCAGGACACGTAGCCACGTGACCTTATCGAAAATTCGTAAGACGAAAACAATAAAATTGGAAAGGTTGTTGACAAGTCTCTAATTAGGACGTCCAGGTGGCAGCTTTATTGCGAAGAAAATGCATTTTTTTACAAAAGATGTCGCTAGGTGCACTTTAAATGTGATTCATGTAAGTTGATTTTTCTGAGACATAACCTTTTTAATGTTATATAAGTTGTCATGTTTGTGTACGATAGCGCAATAAATAAATATTGTATTCAACCACAGACACAATGATAGTACTTTTATACTGATAATTAAAGCAATTTGTGCAAATATATTCCCTAACCATTCCAAAATTCCAAAAATGCACAACGTTAATATTCAAGTTTTCACTTCTGCCGGCACTTCCGGAATGCAACCCGTCGTTTTTTTTTGCGATAGAACTTGTTCTAAAGGTCGTAAGTTTTCTGAAGTACGTACACCACAGAAACGTAAGCTAAAGTCATAATTAATAAAGACTTAAAGAGTGACACATTCCTTATGAACAAACACTAATACGAAAAATATAACAATGCAAGGACATAATATAAAGTATTCTATAGAAAAATTATTTAAAAACATTTACAGTGGAATGTAACGAGTGCATAGCAAATAATATACAGCAAAGTAAAAACATATTATCTATGCACCAAACAAAACCGGGAAACCGAAAAAGGCGAGAGTTCTTAAGTTTAAAAAAAGAATTCCAAAGCTAAGGTTCATAAAATGGTATCTCCCATACTAGGCTATTTGACAGTATGAAAAAGAAAGTACCAATTTTATTATTGGTATGTGTACTTAATGCCGCCACTTCAATTGGCTATTCGTGTATGTTATTATTTTGTAAACTTGACAGTCTATCCTTTCCTTATAAAGCATAATAAGGACAGACGGTTGTCAAGTTTACAAAAAAATCTGTTGTCGCTCTAACTAATGCATGTGGAGCTAACCTGTAAGTGTGTGTTGTAGTCACCTTCCATGAGCATAATGTAATTTAGTCTAAGATTTACTGTAAACAGACATTGGTTAGTAAAAGAAGTAAATAAAAGCAAATACGAATAGCCGAATGAAGTGGCAGCATAACATGAATATTGGCTCTGTGCACAACATTAGCGCCACCTAGCAAATATGATGACTCTGACGTTTTGGCATTTAATCGCGACATTGAGACAAAATATTAAAATTAAACGGCCAAAAGGTAGTGAAATCGTTTTTGGTCATTCAAATTAAATGAGGTAAGTACAAATTTATTTGAAAGGTTGTTTTATTTTGGTTACGTCTCGGGGTTTGTTTAATTAATTTTTAGTTGTAATTTTACTCAAAAACAAGAAGATATAGCTACTTTAATAGTTTCATTAAATATTAATTAACTTTTAGAATAACTTCTGTATTGCTAATATTAAATTAAATATTGTTTGCAGATCGAAATGAGTGTTATTCTGAAGTTCGGGTTTTAGAGTATCACTCACAAATACTCACGATATAAGTAAAATTTCAACCACAAAACGCCTCTATAGAAAATTTTTGGTATCTGCTAGACATAGCCGGCTTGTATAGGATTTAAGAACAAAATAAAGACGAAACGCAATCTATACAGAATGATTTAGGTTAAACGTAAAGTAAATTCACTATTTTGACAAAAACAGTAGTTTAAAATATTACCAATAATCATGAAATAGAATAGTAATTTTTGGTCTATTGTCACGTGACCGAAACCGCCTAGGATTAGCGTAGCCTAAAATGACGTCACCTGCTTGTAAAGATACTGTCGAAGTGACAATACTTTATGCTGACTGAGGTTTTAATGAAAGCCGTGTGACGTCATCTCTCTGTAATACGCCATATTTGCTAGAGAAACGTTGCCGCGGCATTCTTGAAAACATAAATCTTATTTTAGTTTTTTTACTGATATGCAACAGAATTATAAATACATATCCACTTTTCATAGAGTCACTTTATGTATCATAAATAAATAACGTAATAAGTGTTCGAAAACTTGTCAAATAGCCTACTAATTACTTTTTGATATCACACAAAAACATGCTTAATTGCATACGAAATTAAATGTTAATTTGTTGTTTAATACCAAAATGCTTTAATAAATATATAAATATCCCTAAACGAAGTTGCCAGAGGGAAATGAGAATAAAAAAAATTGCTGACGTTCTGATAGAATTCGAATATGCTATCATACGTTTATGCGAATTTCATTCTGACGAAGCACAACGCCCACTGCTAAACATAGACCTCCCCGAAATATCTCTTCATCGAGCGCTCAGAGTGCAGAATAAAATGTCCCGATTGACTTTGGCATAATTTCATTTGAATTGTCAAAGTTCACGCTAATAGCTAAGTTGACTTACGTTCAATTTGAACGTGACCTTTAATGCATCATGCAAACGTCAAATCAGAGATTCTACTTACATTAAATGCTTTATCGATTAACGTGTTTAACAATGTTATACTATGAATCAAAGAAAGTGGCAAATTCAACTGTAATCAAACTTAAAAGTAAATTAATGTCTCTAATGCCATACGTCTTCTTTCAATCATAATTTTATCGCCGGTTTGTACGAACGTAATTCGCTTGAACTTATGGAGTTAGCATATTCGCATCTCACGTCTTATAAGCACATCATAGAATTGACAATGGTAGAGCATACAAAAACCTATTGTTTGCGAGAAATCATAAAAATCAATTAATATTTTAATGTCCACAACATGGGTTCTAATGCATGGCAAATGCTATTGTGTATTTGTAGATTTTTGATTTGCAAGTTTTTATGTTACCTTCAGGAGAGATCTCACTTTGGATTATAGTTCATCAACAAAACGGAGCGACAAAAAATGCAAAATTACACAAATGTGATCACTCTCATATGCAGCATTAAAAGTACTTCTCATATTTAAAAACCACCCGAATTACATACTTTGTTTCGTCGCATGTTTGAGCCCTTTCTATGCTTAACAAAAACATTATACTTAAAAATAAATCAATTTGTTTGCTGATAAGACTAAAAAAATAAAAATATGAAAATTAATCAACTTATTACATTTATACATCTCATTGATAAAATATGTAGAATATTTCTTGAAACTTATATATTTAATACTTGCTAGAAGAAAAATCAAACCATCTTCTCTTTTCCAATATCAACAATTTTTCAAAATCCACTGCCGATAATTGCTTTGTGTAATCAAGATTTTATACATATAAGAACAAATGATCAATTCAACCAATTATCGCCAATCGTAGAAATCCAAATGTGTATCCATTTCTTTGCTTGCAAGTGTATTATTTAGAAATATTAGTTCCTTTAACATGAACAATTTAGAATATCAACAACCATAGTTTTTTATCTACTTATACCTAAATCATTAAGAAATTATGGCATCGTTTACACAAACCTCAATATTAATCACACACAGCAGCCTCCTTAGTATGACCATCGCTACTCAATAAGATCCATAGTCCTTTAACAACATGTAACTGTCAAAATGTCAATAACAGAAAATTAACAGTTAAATATCGTTATACTGCTTAATCAATGAATCACATAGTGTTTCAGTGATTATTTTATAAATGCATGATCACTGTAACTATAATAAATCTGTATACAAAGATATTTAAGGAGATCAGACACATACGTCATCGACACACATACAAATTAACACGCGAACCTGCTCAAAACGGAGCTTCGATAAAATTTTCAATACAAAAATACTTTACGCCGAAACAGTTGATAAAAAATATAGAAATGGAGATTTCGTATGTAACTAGGTACTACGTATTAAGATATGAACGAGGTTTTTGAACACTAACTGTTACAAATAAAGGCTTACCGGTTCGATTCGCTTCGTAGAGGATTATTTAGGGGCATTAATGAGTTGTCGCTTACAGTGTCAGGGGAGTTAGGGCTGCCTTCTCTCTTTGGGGGTAAAGGAATGGTATTTTCTTCGTTCGGGAGTGGAACAAACTCGTTAATATTGGTTTCATCTCTCTTGGGAGGGACAGGGGCGCCATTGAGCTTTGGCAGCGGCGGTATTGGCGGAGTGGGGGAGTCCCCCCGAACACTGCCCGCTAATGGCGCTGCGTTCACGCCTGGAACGGTTAGTATGTTATTGGCCATTCTTTGGTAATGCTGCTTCCACTTGTTCACTGGCGGCGTGTAGTTCAGGTGATCATATTCCCTTTCTGTAAACGTTGTCATATTATCCAATTGGTATGGCACACATGGCTGGCGAATGCTTTAAGCGTTACGAACAGTGTGTGAAACGGGAGTTGAGTGGGGGATATAAGCAAGAGAAAGCAGTGCACGAACACATTTTTTTTTCTCTCTCTGAAGCTAAAGAAGTTTCACTTCAGTCGTGTGGTCATAAGCACACTGGTTTTATTTTAGGAATTCGGATATCATAGAGTAAATTATGCCTTTTTCACAAGTGTAATGTAAATTTTATTTGCATGACTTTGTGCGCGGATATCTGATATCAATATTTATCTGTATGTCTTGTGGATTCAAAATTAATATTATTAAAAAATTATGTTATTGTTTACAAGATAAAAAACAAGAAAAGAATTGTCGCTTACCATAACCTTCCTTATGTTTGATTTCGTCGTACACGTGGTCCAACTTATTGTCGTCGTCGATGAAATGATACAAATTGGGATTATTGGCGTCAGCATCTTTGTTCTTCAAGGACGCAAGAGGGTCGTAAGTGCTCGACGGTGCTGCAAGCATTAAATTAATTAGTGCAATATGTGTATACCGATAAGAAAAAAAGGGTAACCAACGGTCCTCCTTGAACGTTATTTAATTTCCCCGCGTCACCGTTCTCAATCATCAATCACAATTTTTTTTTATTGTATAATTACGTAAAATTAGGTTGTAAAAACGATAGAATTGAAACGGGTTTCCAGGGACCATGCTTTTCCGCCACTTAAGTGTTCTAAAAATATGACACGTTCGGTTTTTATATAAGTTGAAACCACAGAACACAGAAAGAGGTTAGAATGGCCTTGTGGGCGGGGCCGCACGCAGTCGCAGTACAAGGTCATTGCATCTACTTTAGTGGTGTCTTAGACCAGGGTCGATAATTTTAAAAATGGTGAAAAGTGAAAAAAAATATGGTAGGATGAAACCCATTAGAAAAGGTAGAGAATATAACAAAAATGAAAGGAAAAATAAATTACGGGCGATCTGAGGTTGGGAAGGGGGGGGAGTGAGTTTTTAAGGGTAACAAATGGTTAATCTCGATTTCCGGTAAAACTGCAAGTCCTATGAAAAAAAGTTAAATGGCAAAGTTGTAGGTAATAAAAAGATCTACAACTTTTGTACCGACACTTTTTTCACATAACCTCAAAATTTACGTGAAAAATGCGAATAACCGAGTTTTTGGTTTTTGATTTTAATTTTTTGCAAAAAAAAATATTTTTTCACAAAATTTGGTGAAAACTTACCATTGTATGTCCCAAACATACAGATTTTTTTTTTGATTTAAAATATTCATTTTTTCACCTTATTTTGACTTAATATCGAAAAAGCACCCTTATTTTCAATCGAAAATTCTCACATCAAAATATCTGCTTTTTAAAAAAAGTTGGGGTGTTTTTTGTTTGTTGAAATCTCTTCTTTCTGATGGTATAAAAAAAATATACACTACTATGGTAAATGTTCTCAGAAAATGCAAATTAATAATGAAAAAAACTCGAATCCGAAAATCCTATTTTTAATACCTACTTACAACAACTATTTTTGCATGTTTTATGGATTTGTAATTTTTCTGTTTATCAATATAACATGAAATCTAACGTTTTTCGAGTAAAATTAAAGTGTAAATTTTAATAAATAGTTCAAAATTATACATAATGATTCAAATCAATTTTTCGGATTGGAGTTTTTTACATTATTTATTTGCAGTTTCTGAGAACATTTACCATAGTAGTGTATCTTTTTTTATACCATCAGAAAGAAGAGATTTCAACAAACAAAAAACACCCCAACTTTTTTTAAAAAGCAGATATTTTGACGTGAGAATTTTCGATTGAAAATAAGGGTGCTCTTTCGATATTAAGTCAAAATAAGGTGAAAAAATGAATATTTTAAATCAAAAAAATTACTGTATGTTTGGGACATACAAAGGTAAGTTTTCACCAAATTTCGTGAAAAAATATTTTTTTTTGCAAAAAATAAAAATCAAAAACCAAAAACTCGGTTATTCGCATTTTTCACATAAATTTTGAGGTTATGTGAAAAAAGTGTCGGTACAAAAGTTGTAGATCTTTTTATTACCTACCACTTTGCCATTTAACTTTTTTTCATAGGACTTGCAGTTTTACCGGAAACCGAGATTAACCATTTTTTACCCTTAAAAACTCACCCCCTCCCCCTTCCCGACCTCAGATCGCCCGTTATTTATTTTTCCTTTAATTTTTGTTATATTCTCTAACTTTTCTAATGGGTTTCATCCTACTATAATTTTTTTGGTCTCAAAAATTATCAACCCTGGTCTATCTTGCGTCGTACATTTTACATTTTCGATAGATTTTATCGACTGAATTTTAACACCTTATAATGGAATTAAAGTAACTTTTAGAAATATATAAAAGCTGATTGTGAATCATACTTAATATTATAAAGGTGAAAGTTTGTGAGTGTGTATGTTTGTTACTTCTTCGCGTCTAAACGGCTGGAGCGTTTTTAATAAAATTTGGTATGGAGTTAGCTGACACCCTGGATAAACACAAAGGCTACGTTTTACTGCGGGAAAATATCCCTAATAAACCGCACGTAACACCGCAGGGCACAGCTAGTACAATATAAATATAAAGCTGAAGAGTTTGTTCATAGTCCAGTCAAAATAGACATTTGACTTAGGAATAATTCGAATAGGGCTGAAAAGACGTTAAATACATCATTATAAATAAAATGTCAAAAATCACTACAAAATTATGGTGTTTTCCATTTTTCTCGAAAACGGTAAGTTTTGTCGTGAAAGTAGGTCTTACAAAAGTTGTAGACCATACAATTCTCTACAAAAATGGTCTAGTCACTTTTTCTCTCACGACTCACCATTCGTGAGATATTGCTGTTTTAATAATTAAATTCATTTTTTTCATAATATGCATACATTTCTGCACCACCTATGAGGTAATGTACTTGGCGGATTCAAAGTTGAAAAAAATCCGACATATACGAGTACATTACCTCATAGGTTGTGCAAAAATCCCATTCGATCCTACTTCTGCAAACAAATATTTAAGGTCAAACGTACAAAATTATGGTATTTTCCATTTTTTTCGAAAACGCCAAATTTTTTCGGGAAAATAGTTCAAACAAATGTTACAAAATTCTCTACAATTCTCTACAAAAATGGTCGTCACTATTTCTCTCACGACTCACGATTCGTGCGATATCGCGGTTTTAACAATTAGAAAATTCATTATCAACTTTTGTCAATTTTGGAATACTTATTGAAATTTATACTGAACTACATCTGTGTTTATACCATTGAGTTTGTATATAAAGCATTATACATCTTTTTGAAAAAGGAATCACTGGACTCACTGTCAGTAGATCCGCTGGGACACATCCTCAGTTTCTCCATGGTGCTGTTGTTGAGTTTGCCTCCCAATTTGTTTAGTATGTGGTTGGCGTTGTTCTAGAGTTAATCTAATGGACTCACTGTCAGTAGATCCGCTGGGACACATCCTCAGTTTCTCCATGGTACTGTTGTTGAGTTTGCCTCCCAATTTGTTTAGTATGTGGTTGGCGTTGTTCTAGAGTTAATCTAATGGACTCACTGTCAGTAGATCCGCTGGGACACATCCTCAGTTTCTCCATGGTGGTGTTGTTGAGTTTGCTACCCAAGTTATTTAAAATATGGTTGGCATTGTTCAAGAGTGTGGCAGAGTCGTCGCCGCCCGTCGACCCTTGGTATGAATACACCGGGTTGTCAAAATGTTGTTGCTCTGTTGGAAACAAATTCTATTAGTAATTGTATTTTTTTTTAATATACACATACCAAAGAAGTCTAAGCAATATTCATCTATATTTACGCAAACTGCAAGTTTTCTCAGTTGAGATTTAGTTGAAATTGCTGAAGTGGATCATAGTAACTAATAATGCAAATTTGATATTATTAACAAAATAATCCGTATAAATAAATAAATTTTAAAATAAGTAGCAACAAATATGAAATTCTTGCATTAACTCTTCATAAATTTAAAATACACATTAAGAATTGCTTACTTAAGAAAGGATATTATACTATAAATCAATATTTGAATTTTAAAACGGCCTAGTTGAAATTTTACCTGTAGATAATTTTTCAAAAGTTATATTTAATCTGGGGGGATTAGAAAGACATAAAACAGAGAGAAAAAAACAGCCCTTGCTGAGTTTCTTGCCAATTCTTTTCAGTACTAGGTCTTCCGCCGTAGATTTGCGAACCGATGGCGTAGATTTTCGACATTCACAAGGGCTTCTAACAGCCTAGAATAAATGATATTGTTTTTTTTTAAAACTTGTCTATTACCCCCTATTGTGTGCATGCACCTAATTTAAGTGGTACACTTTTGAGCCGCGAGTGCCGTATCTTCCCTTTTTGATTTAATATGTCATTATTACCTGGTTGCGAGTTAGGATCGGCGGTGTAATGTACATGCGCTATCTCCCGCTTAAGGTTGCGCACGCGCTTGCGATAATACAACAACACCAAAATGGCCGCCGCGGCGCAAAGCAGAGATAGAACTATCATCACCACCGTCAAACCGGTATTGGAACCTCCTGAAAAAAACGAGGTAAATCAAGAAAGTCGGCAAATCAGAGTGAGCTAGAGTCTGTGCGGAAAGAGAATGGGATTTAGATTGGAGGACGCTGTAGGGCTTTTCTACCGTATTTGTAAGGTTTTACCCTTTTTAGATATGATTAAATACAAAAAACCGCAAGAAATCACAACAAAAAACAAATCCGTATCAATACAAAACTTTGACGTTTTACAGATTGCTGGGTTTGATTGCCAAATAAAAATCTTAATGTTAGTTCCGCTTTTCGCCACGCCCATTCTCTTTCCGCACAGACTCTATTAATTTTATTTTGGTATATTAATCTGCAATTCAATAATGTTAAATTTAATGTTGAAAGGGTGACAAAGAAATAATTGTCCCAGATGATGGTAAACCACCATAGCTTATAGACACTTGCGATACCAGAGCATGCGTCTTCTTTTTTGTTAAAGTGGGGAAATGCTTGACACACACTCACTCACTAAAGAAAATGTGCGCGGGTAATATCGGTCTCTCCCCTGCTTATCCTCTAGATAAAAACAATTTCATCTAGTTGGCAAGCACGGGCCTGCCGACTAAAACCACCATAATGTTTCATCCTGAGCGATGATACGTGAAGTCGATGTAACACTAAAGTATAATGTTATTTGTCATACACTCGACTGCAAATAAACTGGGCCAACCGCTAGTACCTAGGTACTCTAATTCGATTTTTTCAAAAAGTATAAAACTTACAACTATTAAACTACTTGACCGTCACTGAAAGCTTTAAATTGAGATAGCACTTCCGTTTCCCGTCGAATTACCATCAGTTTCCGTACTTTTATTCACCTTGTATCCGGTCCAGTGGCGACACCTGGCAGAAGCGCGGCCATTTTTGTTTTCCTATGTTTTGACAGCGCCATATTAACTCATTGGCGTTCTGACTCCCGTCGAAGCAACACGTCCTCAATCTGAGCGATCGTTGTGAGATTTTAAAGGTTTTATTATTATTAAGTGATAAAACTGTAAGTAAAACTATTTTATTTTAACGGTTTTTGCCGTTCGTGTTATTCCAAATAGGTACTTTACGTGTTAAAAGTGAAGGAACCGTAAGTAAAACTATTATTCCTTTTGATAGTTTTTGCAGCCCTTGTGATAAGGGATATTTAAAACAAATATGTTAAAATGTGCAATACGCTTGTTTGAAAAAGTAATAATAAGCCGTGAGTAAAACTTGACGGCAATTCAAGGTGCGTTTTGTTTAAAAAATTAAAGTACCTACATTAAAGTAAATTTTGCAATACTTTAGTGTTTTCTCTTGGTACTCAATTAATGTTTCCGTATAAGTAAATGTGAAAGTAAATTGGTAAATGTATTACAAAATACTTAATTAAATTGTTTTACAGTTTAGAGTGAATGAATATCGGTCAAAGATACAAATGAATGCTACACAAGGAAGCGTCCGGTCATTAACAAAGCAAATATATGTAGAAGTATATATATATATATATGTATATATATATACTTCGCGAGTTTTAAGCAAAGGAATATAGCGATCAGCTAATACATATGTTAAAGCAGCTTCGTAAGCTTGAAGAAATTAAAGGCGTGATTCAAATAATATTATTTGATTCATTTTTAAGCTTACTCGTTTCTTTATACAGTTTCATATAATCTGATAAATGTTAATATTTAAATTTATCATAAATTGTCACATTGGCGTATATATCTATGTACGTGGCGATCACCAGGCGATAACAAACAGGTCTCAATATAAAGCTTTCAGTGACGGTCAAGTAGTTTAATAGCAGCATTTTACCTGAAATAAAATGCATATTAAAATACTTACCTCACTGAAAGCTTTCACTTTAAATTCTGCCTGGTGAAATAATTGAGCCAATGAGTTAATATGGCGCTGTCAAAACATAGGAAAACAAAAATGGCCGCGCTTCTGCCAGGTGTCGCCACTGGACCGGATACAAGGTGAATAAAAGTACGGAAACTGATGGTAATTCGACGGGAAACGGAAGTGCTATCTCAATATAAAGCTTTCAGTGAGGTAAGTATTTTAATATGCATTTTATTTCAGGTAAAATGCTGCTATTAAGGCTATATCTACAGAAAGTGTGTTTCATAATTATTAATATGAGTAAAAATTTATTCTAAAGTACTGTCAACTTACTTTGTAATCGAGCAAGAACAGTAATGCTAACAATTTGCTATTTTTTTAATAACGTCGCGATTAATGTTCTTTTTTATAAAATGAAGATAGTCTGATACTTCCCATCATTTCCTTAGTTTTTCTCCATAGTTTTCTCAGGCGTGAGTATTTTTGCATCGTTCGTTACTTCCGAATACTACAATTGGAAAACGATTCTTCCTTGGCTTTTTTTAAATAAAAATTTAATTAATTGATTATTCTCAATATATTCTAGTTCATTTTAATCGCTTTCTGGAGTTTAATTTTGATAGTTGTAAGTTTTATACTTTTTCAGAAAATCAAATCAGAGTTCCGTGGTTGCAAGTGGTCCAGTTTATTTGCAGTCGAGTGTATATATATGAATACAACACAATATATTTTAGAACTTTTAACAAAATCTTGTAATTAGATGCTCTTCTTACCTTCCGCCCTTACGATGGCGTCGCTGGCGTGTTTGTCGCAGTTTTCGCCGATGTAATTCCGGTGGCAAATACAACCTTTGACCGGATGGCACTCCCAGTTTCCATGCGATGAGCAATTGCAAGCCTCCATGCAATGGTCGCCATAATAGCCCTCTGGGCAAACTGTGGTCACAAAAAAATACAATTCTTTAATTACCCAGAATCTCCAAATTGGTTGTATTTTTCAATAAATTGTAATACCAAATTTTTCTCATACAGTCGAAACCGGATATAACGACATGAACCATATAACTTCGGACGTTATGTCCGATAGTTGTTATAAGCAATATACACAAGTAGTCATATTATTGTCATATGTATGTATGCAGTTTGGTTAAAGATAATTAATATAAGCTTGTTTTCAAACAAAATATCAAAAAATCAAGTAAAAAAAAAATAAGTACATACGTACAGTATATTCAGTTTTTCTGGAACATGTAAAACGGTTGGTCGTTATAGCCGACGAATATCGATTAGAACTTTATCGATATTATAATAATATAATAATAATAATAAGATTCTATCGTAATAATCGACACGTCGTTATATACGGTTTTGACTGTATATAATATTTCTTGTTATACTTTTCTCAACCATTTTAAAAGATAGAAATAAAGTTAAAATTCAGTTTTTCTTAATTTTTGAAGATTACTTTGGCATTTTAAGAAAAAAATGTTTGTCATCTCCATTGACATTTAGATAAATTGCTGCAAGCAAGCCCTTAGTAATAATACTCACACTGAGTACAATAGTTTCCGGTATATCCCGGTGGACAGCGGCAGTACCCATCGTTTGGTCTGCAAGCGGCACCAGTGGCACACCGACAAGGCTGCGAACATCCGGCACCCCACCACCCAATGGGGCAGGCTTCCCCGCAACGTAATCCACGCCAACCGGGCAAACATTGGCATTCACCTGACACAAAAAAATAATAAGGTCACTTTATCACGGACGGAGTAACCTTGTCATTCTCTATACAGAGTGAAAGGGAGGGACTGGTGTTAGATTTGGTTTTGAGTTTGGAGAGTGGCGCCGGAGTGGACATCTATATTAGTATGCTCTCTCTCTCTCTCTCTCTCTCTCTCTCTTTATCAGTCTTCCATTCAAAACTAAAGACAACTTTCGATGTGACTTTTATAAAACATGATAAGACCGGACTGTTGTCAAGTTTACAAATAACAAATACGAATAGGAAAGTGAAGTGCCTTGCTGGACTTCTTCGTTCTTTGCTGCATAAGATGTTTCCGGAACAAACATTTATGGGATGAGCAGTACAAATAATGTAGACTTGGCGCAGAAGGCAATATCGCTACCGTTGAACCAAGCAATCGTCATATAAGTAAACAAATCGTCGGGTGTTGGACTAATTTATAAAAGAAAACCTCTGCAGAGTTCTTATTTATGCATCGTTACATCATAACTGTCGCTGAAGTACATTGGATTGAAAATTGGTGTAAAGGACCGTTGCTTTTATCACCGTTGATTGTACTGCACAACGGCAAGGTTGTGAACTCTACTACCCCATAGGAAAGGCTTCCTCGTAACGTAATCCGCGCCAACCGGGCAAACACTGGGATTCACCTGTCTAAAAACCCATCATTGCTTCATCATCAGCATATTAATGTCATCACTGCTAGAACACAGGCCTTTCCCTATGGATGTAACAGGGAAATTGGGCCATGACCCACCACGCGGGCCCAGTGCGGATTGGTGAGTGCTAACGACTACAGATGCAGCCGGGACTAACAGCTTACCATGCCTTCCGAAGCACAGAGGAGCTCCAGATAGTAAATTTTTGGTCACCAAAACAATGACCGATCACTGAACATTCATTGCTTACATTAACAATAACAAATCGGCGGGTTAATTGACCGACTTCAACAGTTTCAGCTTCCTACTTCGAAGCTAAAAAAAACCTTCGATGTGACAGCTATTATCTTTCCTAACTAAACTATAAAACGAATGGACTCGCGGAAATCCAAAAAGCAAACGACCCCGGTAGTACAAGGGCAAGATTGAGAACAACAAACACCCTATAGGACATGCCTCACTGGAAACACTAGCTTTCACCTGTCCCAAAACCATAATTTAAATACGGGACACCATAACGATTGTTTAGTCTCAAATATAAAATATACCACTCACCAGTGACATGATGACAATCCGCGCCATTTTTACAAATGCACTTCTCTTTGCAATCGACCCCATAAGTCCCGAGGGGGCAGGGGTATTCACAAGTAGCCCCGGTGTACCCGCTAGGACACGAGAAGCTACCAGTTACTGGGTCACATGTCGTGTTGCCTGCAACAATTACATAAACACACCTCACATTATTCCATACAAAGACTATACGATTAGGCAGTTTATAAACATCATTCATACCCTAGAAATCGTTTACACAACACACGCCGTTTTGTGCAATGCTGCTTGTTTAATCGAAGTAACAGCGAGTTAATTTGAAATTACGAATTCGTTAGTGAAAATTGAGAATTATTACTCCAAAAAGGGTACTTTATTTATTTTACCCTCACAAGTGAAGAGCTGGCGAACAAAACCTAAAACAGTGTTAAAATTACTAAATTTATAAATTTAAAACCATGCCAAAATCTCACTGGAGGTATGTCATTCAGTTTATACAGCTCATGTAAAATTCAATTTTATATTAATATACCGTTTTGTTTACCAGCTCCTAAAGTGATATGAGAAAACCTATGTTAACAAGAAAGACAAAAATCCTGCAAGCAGTGCAACCTATCTACACTTAATATTATAAAGTTGAAGTGTTTCTTGTTTGTTTGATTGTTTTGGTTGAACGTGCTAATCCTAGGAACTACTGATTCAAATTGAAAATATATTTTTGTCATAGATAGCCCATATATCGAGGAAGGGGAAAGGCTTTATAACATCATGATAAGACTAATATGAGAGGATCATCAATGAAAAATGTTTCGAAAACGGGAAAAAAATCTTTTCAGAGTTTTCGTTACACAAAAATAATGTATGGAGAAATTGTTCTTCTTCAAAAGTTCAAAAAAAAAGTCCGCGATAGAATATGTCTATCTTTTAAAGTTGAGTCACTATACCTTTTTTTTGGTAATCAAAGTTGTTGCTTTGTCTGCAAAAATGTTTTTTAAACATGATAATTATTTCTTATGAAAATTAATTTATTCATCACAAGTATTAAATTTTGATCAAAATGGTTCTTGACTTGCGTCTTTTTCAATAAATATTTTAAGAGATATCATAGTTTTAAAATACCTCCGCATCAAAATAATGATCAAGTACCACGCACGAAAACGTGAGGGAGAGGGTGCTAGCTGGCCGCCGGTAGCTGTTCGAGGTAGTAACATGGCACGCGACTGAATATGAAAGTTTGAGAACTTTTCCTGCAGGCAGGCTCTTAGCCTTTTCATTTATATTTTATCTGTAGTAACTTACGGATCAAAAGGAAAATATGCAAACGTATTGCCAACTTAATCTTATCACACTAATATTATAAAGGCGAAAGTTTGTGAGTGTGTATGTTTGTTACTTCTTCACGTCTAAACGGCTGAAGCGATTTTAATAAAATATTTGATATGGAGTTAGCTGACACCCTGGATTAATACATAGGCTACGTTTTACTGCGGGAAAATATCTCTAATAAACCGCGGGTAACATCGCGAGGCACAGCTAGTGAATTAATAAATTTAGAAGTAAATCAATTATGGATGTGTTTAGTATATAAGATTGAAATATATGAGCGCAAATCTGTAACCGGCACCACAAATAAAAATAGAATGGTTAGATTGTGTATGAGTATTTAAGACAGTAATAGTAATAAGTAGCATGCAGCTAGCGTCGAAAATGAGGATGGAATCCGATATAATTACCATTTCCCTTTGTACAGTATATCATAAAGTAAGAGCTGTAAATTAAGCTCAAATGAGTCAGTGGCCGTAGTCAATTACCTGACGTTGTATGCTGAGCAAAACGCAAGTAGTCAGCGCCATAAAGAAACTGAAAAAAGCGGCCAAGTGCGAGTCGTTCTCGCCCATGAAGGGTTCCGTAGCAGCAAGTAACATAATATAAAAGTTCCTGTAGTTCATTGTAACTTTGATCGATGTTTTAATAATAATGTTTTTTTTATTGATATGTGATTTATGACGTATTAAAAAAAACTACTTACTAGACTCGTTCAAACCAAGTTTGCATAGTACATCATATATATTTTTTTTAGTTTTACCAGCCTCTTATTTTAGAACTTACAGGGGGGGGGGGGCACATTTTACCAGCCTCACCAGTTGAGAGTGTCTCTCGCGCAAACTATTCAGTTTAGAAAAAAAATGACATTAGAAAACTTAATATCATTTTTGAAGACCTATCCATAAATACCCCACACGTGTACGTACGGGTTTGACGAAAAAAAAATGAGTTTCTGTTCTAAGTATGGGGAACCCCCGAAATTTATTGTTTTATAAATAAATCTTAATGCGGTTCACAGAATACATCTACTTACCAAGTTTCAACAGTTAAGTTCTTATAGTTTCGGAAAAAAGTGGCTGTGACATACGGACGGACATGACGAATCTATAAGAGTTCCGTTTTTTACCTTTTGGCTACGGAACCCTAAAAAGGTTAGTTTCGTTATCCAACGTTAGCCTACCGTTGTATTCTGGGCAGAGTTGCGTACAACCAGCGCCGTAAGTGCCGGGCGGGCAAGTCTGGCCGCAGTCGGGCCCCGTCCATCCGGCGGCGCACACGCATCGCCCGCTCGCCGCGTCGCACGAAGAATTGTTCAAGCATTGGCAACGCTCCAAGCACTCCTCCCCGTAGTGACCCTCGGCACATTGAGTCTCGCAACGTACACCTGTTATTTATTAATATCGGACAATATATTTACGAGGAGCTCGATGGCGCAACTGGTTAGCGCGTTCGGCTGCGATCGTTGAAGTTAAGCAACTTTCGCAGTGGTCGGTCATTGGATAGGTGACAAAAAAATTTACTATCTCGAGCTCCTGCGTGCTTCGGAAGGCACTTTAAGCCGTTGGCCCAGGCTGCATCTGCAGTCGTTAGCACCCACCAATCCGCATTGGGCCCGCTTGGTGGGTCATGGCCCAATCTCCCTATTCCATCCATAAGGAAGGCCCGTGTCCCAGCAGTGAGGAAATTAATAGGCTGGTGAATGTATTTATGGTCAGCCACACGTCAAGTTACAAGGCAAACATCAATTTGTCTTTTGATTGTGAACCCTAAATTTATTGAAATAAAACTCACTATCAGTTGAGGAAATTTGACAGTTTTAGGTAACTTGACCTGTGGTTGTCTGTACATTAGGCCGACCCTGAGGTAAAAAGCTAAAGCACTTGTGTTCTGGAAATAGGAAACAAGGAAGGTAACACAACCACTGAGACTCGAGACAAATTTCGAAAAGTGCGATTTCTACATTGATTCGACTGGGATCTAAGCAGGAAGCTGAGAGATGACGACACAAGGTCAAGATGAACTTGAAAGTTAATTTTCGTAGATATTGTAGATATAACAGATTTATAGTATATTATACAAGTTAATTTATGAAATTTATAAAGTGAGTTTAGACAATAAGTGTAAATAGAAATAATATGCTGTAGAATTGAAAATCTGTATGGTCTGCAATTATTTGGGAGGAGCAGTTTATCCGTAACCTTTACTTTACTTTAGTCAGGGAGTATGGCTATACTTGAGAAAGTAAAAAATAATTGTGATAAATATTTCATAGAAATTTAAACAAGCCTATCCTGATCAGACAATATTATTTACAATAATTTTAAACTATTTACAAAAAGGTTGTATTAACATAATACGCACATAATGGACATAAACAAGGTTATGCTTTATAAAGTTACATTTAAGCTCAAAATACATTTAAGGTATAAAAGTGAGTTTCATATGAACGACAGTTAGCTAACTAATCTACTGTAATTGATGTTTACGTGCACACTAAATAATTGGGTGCTCTTGTTAATCCCACAACAAAGAAAGTGTAATTTGTTTCTTGTAACTCATCAAATGTGTGCTGGCTTGAGATAATTTGAAAGCATACATATGGGTAAAGGTGCTATCCTGCAATTTTATTAATAAACGAAGGCAAAAGCATGAACTAGTTAGATGCAATATTTTGTTCATAAAACTTAAAATTACATTTTGAAAACAGTGAAAAGAAACTAAATACTGCTTAAATAGTTTAGTTTAAGTCTTTCCTTTGTTCATTAATAAGGGAATCGTTATCTCTAGAGACTTTACATCACGTATTTTCAAGCATATTTCTTATTACATAATGTCGATATCAATTTAAGACAGATCATATCATGTAGCCAGCGCTATCTAAATTTATAATGAAAGGTAGTTTAATAACATCTGTAAACAATGCAGTAACCGATACTTTATTTAACGAATCAAAAGACAGGGCAATATTTTGTGCGTCTTAATCTAATATTTTCTAATGAACACCGATCGATTAGAGTGTTATTGAAGAATATAGAACAATCACCCTATTCTTTGTTTTTATTAACACCGTTCTCATTTTATACGATAATGGCATACAATGACAAAGAATAAATAACACAATATCATAATATCTGTTTATTTAATAATTTGTGAGTCCCGCGTACGAATCGATCAATTCAAATCTATTATTGTTAAGAGATACCGCCCAAATGGCCGTATTCATCCACACGGCTGATTCTGTTATTTCTATAGCCGCTACGAGTGCTCTCTTCACCGTAGTTATATTCATTTTCCTAAGATTCTCAGCCGCAACAATCAATACGTGTTCAGGATTAGCCCAATCACCACATGTACTCCAAGCATAACAATATTTAACAAACATTTCTTTAGTCCAATCCGAGCTGGAATAATTAGAATTTAGCTTTTTCTGAATCGAAACATTATTATCATCTTTGTGATCATTGTCATTATGCTGGTTTCTTTTATCCATTGCTTCTTGCAAAACATGCGTGTTCACCGATTCGAAACACAGTGTTTTGTATAATATAGTGTTCCCCAAAACATCTGTTATTGAAAAACACGTGAAACATTAAATTAATAATTCTAGAAATACGTACCATCCTCTCTAGGTAGACCTATACGAAGAAATGATCTTTATGAGTATTAGATGATATAGCTGCAATAACTACGATGAAATTAAATGAATCATGATGGTGAAAAAAATCTAAGTAATTAAAACTAACTAACTGATAAAAGTTATTAAATTGGAGATAGATTAGTTAGATATATCTAGTACTGTGGTTGTGCATACTTTTTTTTTTAAATCTGGTGGGGAATCAAAGTTGCATAATGTAACCTAATCAAGTGTAAAACCGATTTTATATCAGTATTATGACAAGAGCAAGAAACAAGAAACTTCACCTCATAGCTTACAAACCATCACCTCTTTATAGAATTGAATAGAAAACCTACAACCTAAAATAAAACTAGCAACCTTTCTAACTAATTATTCTAAGACTTTGCTTAACTATATACATCAAGTGTCTAGGAATCAAATACGCAACGTACGTACGTAATTGACCGCCGTTACATGAAAGAGTATTAAAAGCCAATTTACAGCAGACCGAATTTTATTATTGCAAAAAAATACCTGATCCCTAGTAATTTTTAATGTGTAAAACAATATATTATTCGTTAAAAATTTAAATCTACCGACCTCTCCAGTTTGTCTCGCAAATGCACTGTCCAGTGACATGGTGGCAGCCCTTGGAGTTCTCTGAGCAACTGCATGCGTGTTGGCAACCCTGACCGAAATACCCGACCGGGCAACGTCGCTCACATCTGGGACCCTGGTACCCCGGACGGCAAATGCATTCGCCTACAAAACAGAAAATTGAATAGTAATATAATATGTATATACTAGCTGACCCAGCGAACTTCGTACCGCCATAAAAAAAGGGGTTGGTGGCTTAAATGAAAAAAAAATTTAGGGGTGGATTACCCTTAACATTTAGGGGGATGAAAAATAGATGGTGTCCGATTCTCAGACCTACCCAATATGCACACAAAATTTCATGAGAATCGGGAAAGCCGTTTCGGAGGAGTTTAACCACAAACACCGCGACACGAGAATTTTATATATTAGATATAGAACTCGATGGCTCAAGTAGTTAGCGCGTTGGGCTCCGATCGTTGAAGTTAAGCAACTTTCGCAGTGGTCGATCATTGGATGGGTGACCATAAATTTACTACCTCTCTTCCGGGCCTTGGGAAGGCACGTTAAGCAGTTGGTCCTGGCTGCAGGGACCAGTAATCGACTTTTTTTCTTTGATCAATGAAAATTAAAGTGGGTGGCATGTCGCCGAGTGTGATATATAACACCGATCTATAGAAGATTGGTGTTACTATGTTTAGCAATCTGTTGCCTACTTAAATTTTCATTTAGTTATTTGCAAGTCATTTTCTTAATATTTTGAATACTGTGTAAATCGTACGAAGTCGCGCTCAAAATCGAGTAAACCAATATGTAGTTTATTTTATAAAACCATAAAACTTAAAAAATAGGTAGTAAAATATACTTTTTATCAGAATTAAAATTACGACTAAACATATCAATGAATGATGCATGACGTACAAAGGGACGTGATGCACGACGTACTTTAGTTATTAATAATTTAACCACATTAACCATAAAGTACTAATGATAGTGTTATTATTTAAAAGTTCAGCTTACCGTTGACGGGATTACAAGGGGCATCGTTTTCACAGCTGCATTGCTGAAGGCACTTCAAACCAAACGTCTTGCCGTCGCAAGGTCTGTCGCATTTCAAGCCATCAAACCTACAAAAAAACGAGCGACCCTTACAGTAGTCGCGTATGATGTGTAACATTTGAAACCTCACCTTATATTAGTAAAAACAGAAATAAAACCTACTACAAAAGGAATAAACCATTTGAACAATATGTTCTAAAATCAAATTAAATAGCGCGCGCATCGGCGACTTCCTGTTACACACTTCTGTCCCATTTCACGAAATCACTCCCACAAATTGCAGGAAAGCGAGAGGAAAGATGTTACACATCAATAAGTTCGCTCTAAATATACGGAATATTAACCTAATGGGTCTTTTAACGCGCCATGTTTTATTGCAATTTGTTGCTTAGTAGCACATTAACGGTACGACCGTTCTCAGACGTGAATATTGACGTTTGGTTAAAGTTATTTTTGTCCCTTTATTTGTTATAACAAAAGAGTATGTAAACACGTGACTTTAAACGACATTAAATTTATTTGACGTCTCTGAATCTGTTCACTATATTCTATGATTAAAAAATATCAGGATAAAAATTATTATAAAAGGAAAACTAAATAAAGTCTTTCATATTTTCGATTCTGTTTGTTATTGCGATACATATTGATGTACGTTTAGCATAAATTTTATTTCAATACTTTGACGCTATACAGGGTGTAAAAAATCCTTTAACGAAGTCGAGAGTCACGTATTTCCCACATCATAACAATCATTTTTTTTCTTCTGTACCATACTTGGAAAATTTATGGATAAAGAGATATTGATGGTCAGTCAAATTTTTTTTCAAGATTATACATAAATATTTTCACGTTACTTAGAAACTTTTTTATCAACGCACTTACACACACGCACACACAAACACATTCTTTGCGTAGCGCCACAGTAGCGCGCCGCGCTATACATTGCGAACTAGTTTCCTTTTTGTATTTTTTTAACTTAAAAATACATATGACGTATAATATTTTGTAATATTACTCGTTTGGGTGTACAGAATGCGTAGTTTTAGTTTTTGTCATAGGATTTTATACAGCCTGTATAAGAGACACTACACTTTTCAATGAGGATCCGTAACGATTTCAGTTGAGAATGCCGATTTATAGAGCTAAGAATTCCATAAAATACAGTAGTTAAATTTTTGTTATACGACAAATATTGACGAAGTTATGACCAACTAACTAAACGAATTTTCGGCTGACCGAGTAGTGACTGTACCGTCACAGAGCTCTAGCGTTCGGTGCGAGCGTGCGTAGAGACACTACTAAAGTTCGACCGGAATGATCCACGAACGAGCTCTGTGACGTCACATGTTTCGGCCGCCTGTGAATATTGGCTACCATAAAATTAGCTATAAAATCGCAACGAATGAACCGATTTCGATGATTTCAAAAGTATATTAATAAAAAAGCTTATTAGAAAGGTCCCAGGCTTCACAGGGTAGGAGATGGGATCAGATTAGGCAAGGGCTCCCGTGATATGTTTTGTTTCGCAAGCGTCTTTGGGCTATGGTGGTTACTTACTAGCAGGCAATAAGCTTATATGCCACCCTTTTAACATTAAAAAAAACCTTTAAAAACTTACCCGGGGGTGCATATGCACTGTCCGGTCTCATGCGAGCACGTGGCGTTGTTGTGACAGTCGCATTGGTCGGCGCAGTTGTCCCCATACAAAGGGTACGGGCATTGTTCCTCGCAACGAATACCTCTGTACCCGGGTGCGCATAAGCACGAGCCTAATCGGAACAAACGTATTCTGTAATTCTAAATATTAGTCTAAAGGGATCCTAAGCTCTGACTTCCTAGGATAACGGTGAATTATAGAGACGATATATAGGGTGAAATTGAATGTTTAATGAAACTTCGTGAGATTGTTGGGTTACGTGAAAAGAGTATGCCTGATTTTTTTCGGATTTTTTTGAAGTATTTTTTTCATGTTTTTATTTATAATTTGTGTATTTTTATGTCATTTCCTCCTTTTGAGTAGTTATTCATTTTAAACAAACAAACTTACATATCCAGTGAAAAATAACTAATAAATAAGTACTTCAAAAAAATGGAAAAACATTAAAATTCCACGGCGGGTCAACGACCGACCGCGCCCGCCAGCTGTTGAGTGAGTACGTACCTCTACACAGAGTTCAGTTGACTCCTTTGATTCCACACAATACAATAAAGTCGTCTTAGATGCCTTTATTGAAATAATAAGCACAAATGTCATCTTCTCTTAAGCGGAGAAAAACTTTAAAAGTTAATAATAATTTTGTCACGATTAGAAATAGGCAAATGTTAAACAAAAAGAAATACTTATTGCAGTTCAATACTTGGGTGAAATTTATAACCCGGTATTCAAAAGTACTTACGAGACCGATGTACCTATTCATTTTTTTCACTTAAACTTCCCGTATACACTTTGTAAACACAATCAATCACCAAACCTACTTTCGTAAAGCCTTGTGGCTCTGCTGAGTATACCGTGACACTACAATAACAACACACCATATCCAACTTCTTATATTGAGGCCACAGAACAAGAACTAATCATGGCATTATTTGCAAATCTTCTCTTGTCCCAAATTTAAAAGATACGCACGCGCGGTGGATAAACTTGACACTGCGCTCGCTCACTGCGCTTTGCACCGCGCATAGGTAGGTATTCAACCGATTCAACGGCGGGAGCGGTCATTGCTCCCGACCGCTCGTCTTCTGTTTTTACGTTTTTTTAGTAGTGCTAATTAGTTGTTTTTTACTTACTCTGTATGAGTGTTTAAAAAGAATAATTATTTAGTACCCAAAAGGAGATTAAAATATAACAAAAAAAAAACGAAATTTTATTTTAAATCATTTTTAAAAAATCCGAAAAAATTCAGAGATACTCTATATACGTAACCCAATAATCCCACGAAGTTTCATTGAAACATTCAATTTCACCCTGTATTTAATTACGCTATTACAACGTTGTCTATGTTAACAAAATGGGAGAGTTTCCAAGTTGCATTCGTAAAATTACGACTGCACCGTTATCCTAGGAAACCAGAGCTATATGGCAATGATCTCACGGAGCGGTTCCCCACCACGACGGCTGTAGAAGCTTTGCATATCAAACACTCACGAAACGGTTTCATGGTCGCGAGAATACTCATAAACTTAAAAACATAGAAGATCGGACAACGTTAACATTGAAAAGTAACCTTCATAAAAATTTTCTGTTTATAGTAGGTGTGAGCGTTCTAAAACGAACCGGTTTCATGGACCGTTTTGTGTTCCGCGACGATAGAACCGTTTTACGTTTCGGATGAAAGCAGTCTTCGTCGAACAACTAATTTGTACTTAATGAAGAAGTAAATACAGTCTATAATAGAACGCAATGATATGAGACCGTTTCGTTCTATGACAAATTAAGCTTTGAGTTTACAATAATATAATCTTTTATATTGAACATTTAAAGTCGACTATCGTATAATACTACTTTATTTCGATGTTTCAACAAAATAATAAAATTTATTTATAACCGCAAGTAAGCATTACGAATTAGCAATCCTTTCACTCGTCGAAACGCACGTTAACAAGATTTAGTTTAGTTTCGTTACGTTACATTCGTTCGACCGTCGCGTCGCGTGTCGTTTCGTTACGTCACCCAGCCGCAACCAAAACCAGTTGCGAACGAGAACCGTTTCGAGGACTAGTTTTCGTTTAAGAGAAAACGGTTGCGTTTCGTCGTCATAAAATTAGAGAACGACCCACCGCTAGTTTATAGTTACCATTGACCGGTGAGCAGTGTCCGCTGTTCTCACACCGGCATGTGTTGCGGCACCCTTTCCCGTACGTGAGCAGCGGGCACTGGCGCCCGCACGACTCCCCGCCCCAGCCCGCCGCGCACTCGCACGCGCCCTTCCACGGGTCGCATCTGCACGCGCCCCATACATCATCATCATCATCAAGAAATCAATAAATCAATATATCTTTATTCAAATTGGATGTATAGTACAACACTTTTGAATCGTCCAAACATTTTTTTCCCTACCACTCGTTATTGGACATATTTTTTAGCTACGGAGAAACAGGAGCGAAAAAAACTCCACAACATTAAAAGCATAATGTAACAACATTTATAAATCATTATGTTGTTACAACGTCAATACAATCATGATTTATTTAATATAGAAAACCTGTTGGAATGATTGGAGCAGTTCAAACCCAAGCATTTTTGTCTGTAAATAATCATCATCATCATCAACATCAGCCTATTCTGCCGTCCTCAAACTAAAGAGCGGCTATGTGGCATGTGGTCGATTTTTTTAAATTGCATCTAATACAATTTTTAATTCTCAATCGATCTGTCTTTAACGTGTGTTCGTATCTTTTATAGTTTGAGTCTAAAAAATCCGTCATTTGATGAATGGTTACAAAATAGCAATAAAAGTTTACGAGCCGTTTTTTGACCATAGCAAAAAAGTTGGTTTTATCATTTAGCCGCGTTTTAGCTTGAGAACGGCAGTATTAATGTCCCCACTGCTGGGGCACAGGCCTTCCCTACGGATGGAATAGGAATGTGGCGGCGACATCTATATGCTACACATATATCCAACGGAGGAAATAATCACTCGCCTCATCAAAAGATGGCGCTACCGACGCTGCGATCAATACGTATAGAAGCCTAAATCGCGCAAGTGAAATTCGGATGCTAATACTTCGTATATACAATGCCCGACCAACATCAGTCGGACCGCGGGCTCCGAGCTACCATCACCCAGCTCGGAGGAAGATCTTCCCCTTTGGCCTTCCTACAGGGAGCTATGACCCACTACGCGGGCCCCCGTGCGGATTAGCGGGTGCTAACGACTGCAGTTTTTTTTTTTTTTGGCTTACAAAACTGGTTACAAAGAATATTCATATAAATATATGCATACAAAAAAAAACATCAACTACTTTGCAACCTACTAGATGCAAGCACAACATGCATTTCTAAAACTACCTAACTACTAAGGATATATACTAAAGGATAACTATAGCACATATAGGTTAAACTCTAGCTAAAAAAAATAAGTGAAAGCTAAAACCAAAAACCTAATCAGAGAATATAGAATTTAAACATTTTCTGGTTGAGGCTTTAGAACCTTTAAATATGTCGAAATCATTTCGAATAGCATTATAGGTTGACAACAGAATAAAGAGGAGAGTGATTCCCTAGTCTTGTCTTACAGTCTTACTATTAATTCTAGGAACTGAAAATTTTATATGCTCTAAAATATCTGGTGAGTCGATGTGACCATGGATTAATTTAAATAAAAACATTATATCCGAAACCTTTCTACGCCTGTGTAAGAGGGCTAACCCATAATGTGTTGTGCGAGTCTGATAAGAGAGAAGTTTTTTACAAATGCCATCTGAAAAAGCTAGGTGGTATAAAAATTTTTTTTGGACAAGTTCAACTCGGGTAGAATGTATCTGGTACCCCGGATTCCAAACAGGACTAGCGTATTCCAAAATGCTGCGCACTATACTGTTGTAAATAAGAATGGTGAGTTGGGGTTCCTTCAGAATTTTCATTTGACGAGTAATAAAACCAGTTAGTTTGGCTGATTTTTTAACAACTGAGTCTATATGAAACCTGAAGCTAAGTGAACTGTCCATAATAACTCCTAGATCTCTAATTTGAGTAACCTCTTTAATGAGGACGCCCTGGATGAAGTATGCTGCACTGGCAGCGTGTATCTTTCTGCTAAATTTTATGTGAAAGCATTTACTGATATTAAGTTCCATACCGTTGCATCCACACCATTCTACTACGTTATTTATGTCTGACTGAAGGATATTTATATCGTTTGATGTGATAACAGCTCTGTATACTTTTAGATCGTCGGCATATAGTTTGAATTGGGATCTTATTACTCCAGCAATATCATTGATAAATATTACAAAGAATAAGGGTCCCAAGTGAGACCCTTGAGGTACACCTGATGGTATGGTCCTAGCTCTAGATTTATATCCGTGTATAGCAACCAACTGAGATCGATTTCTCAGGTACGACTCGCACCATCTCAAGAGTGATCCGTGCACACCCATGTATTCTAGCTTTTGAAGTAAGAGGTCATGATTCACAAGGTCAAAAGCCTTTCTAAAATCTGTGTACACAGCATGAACTTCGCCTCTATTGTCGAGAATATTATATAGGTAGTTAACATACGATAAGAGATTGGAAGTAGTTGACTTACGAGGCAAAAATCCATGCTGCTCCGAACTAAGAAGACCTTTAACATGGTTGTAAAGATGTTTCTGAACAAACGATTCAAGAATTTTACCAGGTGTGGACAAAATCGAAATGGGCCTGTAATTGCTAACATTGTTTATATCGCCGTCTTTGTGAATCGGTGTGATATATGCCACCTTCCAGTAAGCAGGATAAATTCCAGACTGCAAGGAGAAATTAAATATTTGAGTTAAAGGTTGACTTAGGTATTTAGCGCAACGTTTGTAAAATACTGGTGGTAAAGAATCTGGCCCGGTTCCTTTATTGGGATCCAATGATAATAAGTGATCAAGAATGTCTTTTTCAGACAAGGAAAAATTAAAAAGTGCATGGTTTTTATTGTCGTGTGGCTCAAAGTGAAGGGTAGGTGCCAATGGATTCGCAGTATAAACAGTCTGGAAATATTGTGAGAACAAGTCACAAACTTGCTGACCACCAGTGCCCGTTACATTATTAAACTTGACCTCATTGGGTATAGATACCCGGCTCGACTTTTTATTCTTAATGAAGTCCCAAAAATACTTCGGTCTATCGCGCAAATTTACTATAGCCTGTTCTTTGAATTTTGTATAACACTCCTTAATTAATGCATCACAACGATTTCTTAAAATAATATAGGTGTACCTATCCAGTGGGTTATTATATTTTTTGTGCCTAGAGTGATATTTGGCTTTTTCTTTAAGAGCTTTAATTAGTGGCTTACTGTACCACAAAGGGTATTTAGAATCGTGTTGAGTTTTATAAGGTGTGTGTTTAATTATTATTGGCATAATACTGTTATAGAATTTATTTACCATATCATGTACATCTTTAACTTCACTCCAAATAAGTTTCCAGTCCAGTAAAGCTAACTCATTATTGATACTCTCGTAGTTACTGGCCCAAAAATTTAACGATTTACTCTGTCTAGCTTTCAAGTATCTTTTACAAGTATTAAATGAAATATCGATAACTAAAGGGGGATGATGTTCATCATTTCTCTCGAGTAAGGGATTCTCAGCCACGGTTGTTCTGATATATTCCGGTTTATTGCAGAACACTAAATCAAGTATTTTATTATTCTTGTTGGATACCGGATTGCATTGTAAAGGGTTATTGAATGTCATTGTGTCTATAAAGAGATTTTCAATATTGCCTGTAGTTGAGATTGGAGAGAGATGATGAAATCCCTTATCTACATTGCGAAACCATTCTATGTTAGGCAGATTGAAATCTCCCACCACCAATATAGAAGAATTTGTAGGAATGTTGTCATGTATATTATGAGTAATATTATTTAAAATATTTTCAACATAGTCGATTTTAAGCGGTGGGGGAATGTAAACTACACAGATATATAGGTCCAGTCCGCGTCCACACTTCAAGGAAAGCCACAACTGTTCTCCCGAAGATTCCCATTGTTTTCGCCTTACCGGTTTATATTTTTTAAACACAGCTAACATGACACCTCCCCCATCTTTTCTTGTTAGGTGAGACGAAGTTGTGCATCGGTCTCTCCGGAAAATGTCGTAACGATTATCAAGAATTTCGCGGTCAAATACGGTATTATTCAGCCAAGACTCGGTTATCGCAATCACATCGTAGTTATTGCTTAGGGCTGAAATATATAGGTCCTCAGTCTTGGTTCTTAAGCCTCTTACATTAGAGAAATATATTTTTAAATTCATAGGGAATGTTATATTTTAAATTCTAGATAACATGCATTGGCTATAGGGGGCTTACAAACTCTTTAAAAATTCTAAGTTATTTACAAGCTTAGCAGGATCTTTATGGGATTTTCGAATAAAAATACGTCCATTCTTGACCCACACAAACTCGTATTTCTTCTCTTTGGCAAGGGATCGCGTTGCGGCATGAAGCATTTTGTTCGCTGGTGATAAGTGTTCCATCACATAGACCGGTTGCTTATCGGAGGCTATACCAGATGCAGCCGGGATCAACGGCTTAACGTGCCTCCGAAGCACAAAGGGACTTGAGATGGAAGATTTTTGGTTTTGATCGGCAAATGGCATGGGAGGTACTATTCTTTGGAACAGTAATAAAATTTTACGCTATTTCATCCACAAATTCAACAATACATTAGGATTAGCTATACTAACAATTTTCACTAATACAAATAATTCTATTCATTTGTTATAAATAAATATCAATGTTCACCATTAATAGAGTACAAGATTCGGATTGGCAGTCAGCAGCAATTTGATGTGCACATAGTTTCTTTGTAGTAGTGTCTCACGGACAGACGCGGCCTGGGGCCACCCCTATTACCTATACCCCAGCACTGGGGACATTAATAACCCGACACGAGCAGAAATCATGTGATCGCACTCACAGGTCGGTAGTGAGAGGGTTGCACTCGCAGTCCTTGTCGCAGCGCGCGCCCCACTTGCCGTCGGGGCAGGCGCGCGTCTCGCACCAGTCGCCGCTCCAGCCGGGCTGGCACGAGCACGCGCCCGTTTGCGAGTCGCACGCGCCCCCGTGCTGGCACGAACACTTGCCCATGCAGTCCACGCCGTACGTGCCCAGCGGGCACACCTCCAAACACTGCGCAAGTAATTTAAAGCTAGAAAGCATCCGAACGCATCAGACAAACCTAAAACAACGAGCACGCGCCCCCGTGCTGGCACGAACGCTTGCCCATGCAGTCCACGCCTTACTTACCCAGATCAGAGGGCACACCTCCAAACAATGCGCACGTAATTTAAAACTTGACAGAATCCACACACATCAGTCAAACTTAGTTCTTGCTCGGGCACGTGCTCGTTTACGAGTAAACGAACACTTGCCCATACAGTCCACGCCGTACGTACCCGGGCACACCTCCAAACACTTCGCACGTAATTTAAAGTTTGACAGGAACCATATACATCAGGCAAACTTAAAGATGATTACTCTTGCGAGTAAACGAGCACTGAAACGGGATATGATAAAGCGATATATCTGCATTAACTGTCAGACTACTGTCTAACTCCACTGTAGTCTGACAGTTAATGCCGATATATCGCTCTATTGATATCCCGTTTCGGTGGTCATGCTAGAGGGGCAGGCAAACTAAAAGATGATTTTTGGTACGAGTAAACTACGAAGTCCATGAGCACATTAATATCGAGAAACGAATTTTTAAGCCCGTGACCCGTACGATCCTTATGCCGGTGTTAACTTGGCTATTCGGGTTTGCTATTTGATAGCTTTACATCAGTCTTTTCCTTTCCTATAAAGCATGATTAGGACATACTAGCGTCAAGTTTACAAATAGTTAATACGAATAGCCAAGTAAAGTGCCGGCATTGGACTCGGTACGGGCTAGTAAAATTCATACCCAAAACTTCAATATTAGACACTACTCCGACGTCTTATTCTTGTTAAGCACTGCCGATCGTCATTGCAACATGCACCAACAGCGTTTTTGTTAAAAGATCATCTTATTTTCATAATATGTTTTGTTAAAATTAAAACAAACCTACCATATCAGTTAAAACAAAAAATATTTAAGTCATTTAATACACAAAAATAAAAAATATTTTGTAGGTAGATTAACAAAACATTACTAAAGATAATTCCATTGCTTCTTCCTTGCTTACCTTTTCTCCTGTGAATCCAGCTTCACATTGACAATGACCCGTGACATGATGACAGCCAGCTCCATTGGCACACTCACAAGTTTTCTCGCATTTTTCACCCCATTTTCCTAAAGGACATCTACGACAAAGATTTTCCTTTATATTCTATGCTATTGCTATTTTTATAATCTATAAAGTACTCACTTATTCTTACTAATATTAAGAAAATATTAAGAAATTTAACACCTTTATAATTGCTGGGCAAAAATAAAGTATTGAAAAAATACTGCAAATTGATTTTTTCAAATACTTAATATTATATTAGATTTTATTATAAATTGTAATCCATCCATGAAATATAATGAACGGATTTGGAAATCCAAATCCGTCCATGTACTAACTACTAAATGATATCATTTAGCACACTGATAGTTTAGTGCCTGATACTTCATATCCAGAAATATAAATGTGTTCTTGTGAGCTTATCAAAACATAACATAACATGGAGCTTATAAAAAAATAAAACAGGACGTGTATAGTCTACGGGTATATTTTCTGTAATATTTAACCATTATTGAAAAATGTATAGTTTTTTTTTAAGTTTTAAGTAACAAGCTGACGAAGTTGCGAATAAAGTTTGATTATATAATTAAATCGATAATAACTATGTCTGTTTTTATGTTTTTCATACATAACAGCTTACTTTTTTTGCAAGATTGATTGAACTCTGAAGAAAGTACATCAGAGTATAGATAAGCTGTCTTTTCTTATCTAAAAATAAGTTGTCATGTTTTTTTGCATCCTTCATTTAGTAAGTCTTTAGTAAGACTACATTTATTTCTGTTAAACATTATGTAGGTCACATTATTTTTTATTCTATAATATGTAAAGGTAAGAAATGACAGGAGTTTTTGTAAAATGATCCCAATGCTATACAATAAGGTATAATAAAATAATGACTTTTGTTAACAGGTTATACGACATAATCATTTAAGGCGCCGCACTGCAAAAGATTTTGTGTAAAAAAACGTTATAATTTAACAAAGATATTTATTACGTTGATCTATAAAAAATTTCATAAGTAAATGACTTGACCTCTCTCTATATACTGATAATTCCTATGACTCACAACTTTAATACTCATAACATTATGAAAAGGTCAGATGTGTAACATAATAATTAGTTATCAATGAAATAATTAACAATAATTGAAAAAACATGGATACATAAAGCATTATTGTTTTGTTACGAAAGTGCATTAGATTCACTTAAATGCACGAGCCTGTTAATCATTGGTAAAGTTTAACTATGTGCGCAGTAAAATAAGCAGCTTCCGCATTTTATGCTTTATGTCGAATATTTAGTGCTATAAAAGAAATAGACGGCTGTCGAAAAAATATTTTTAATTACTGTATCCAAATCAGACTTAAATATCTTGTAATATCAAAATTAATCGCTTTGGCTGTAACATGTAACATTTCAATGCTGATTTGGGTTTTATGCGAGCATGAGTAATTCGGTTAGGTATCTATCTATATATTTTCAAACACAATGTAAGTGCATGAATTATTTGGAAAGAAATAAAATAAATGTGTATATAAATTATATCGATGAAACATAATTCCACGCATTGGGCATTTTGTTTACACGGGACAAACCATGATTAACAGAAACTATTCCATTGTTACAATGAGAATCTCTTTCGTATCAAAGAGTACATGCATATACAAGCAGTACATGAGAATACCATAGTATAAAATGTTCTCAACAGATTCTGAGCTTTGTAACAAACAAGTATACAAGTCAACTAAAGATATTTTACGGTAGTGTTAAGTAACATGTTTTATTGGTTGGTTGTAAAATTGATAAAATTTGTTTGGGGCCCTTAGGAAGGGTAAAATTTCTCATCAAAGAAAAAATAATGTTTGCATAAAATTAAACTAAAGATTTATTCATCTTCATTATCTGTCTGTCACATTTTCCATTTTTTTTATAAACAATTCAAATTAAATATACACTCTCCTTGCCTTTTTTTCGGCATCTGATTTATTAAATCATTTATAGCTGATGATGACTTTAGTTTTTCTAAAGTTTCTGCCTATACGGACAATAGTAACTCCGTGGTTTATCATCGTATCGCATGTACATCGATTATTGTGGGATTGCCCGTTCTAGTAAATGACTTAAACGGGGAAATCCCGCAGCCCGCGATAACCGATCTAGGGTGTTGCCAACGCACGCTTTACACGAGAAAAATAAAATCCTTTTTTTGACTTTTGATATTTCTGAAAAAAAATGGGAAGTTTTTATTAATTTTTGCTTACACCCGTTGGGGGCCCCCGCGGCCCGGGGGCCCTATATTATTGATACGGCAAATACGGCGGTAGCTATGCCACTGAGCGACGGTGAACGTAACATAACGTGTTTGTGTGACTCATGTGACAGACTGAACAGACTTCAGTAAATATGTGTTAGGTATTTTTAGTGATATTACAATATATCATACTTACTTATTGGCACAGACTTCCCCGGTCCAGCCAGGTTTACATTGGCACTCTCCAGTAAGGGGGTTGCATTTGCCGTCATTTTGGCAGCGGCAACCTTGCGGGCATGGGTCGCCGTCGGGACAAGATTGTTCACATCTGCAGGAAAATAGAAATGGTTGTGATATGTAAAAGTGATTGAGTTAATCTATGGCACAAGCAAGATGGCGGACAGACGCTTATTGTACAAGAGTTAGAAGTTTAATAAAAGTGGATTAAGATAACAAAACAGTTTTAATTTATTAAAGTGTTCCATAATCAGATAACATATAACACATGGCGCAGCTAGAACTTAAATATAACTAAAAATGGCGACTGCATATAATGTTCCGGGAAAACTACTTTTAACTGGGAATTTGGGTGAGAATTGGAAACGATTTAAACAGCAATTCGTTTTATACATACAAGCATGTGGCTTAGAAGAAGTTCCAGAGGGACGTAAAATTGCAGTGCTTTTAAATATCATTGGGGAAGATGCCTTAGATCTTTATAATACATTTGAAATAAGCACAAAACTTTGGAATCCCTATTAAATTTATTTGAAGAATACTGTATTCCAAAATATAATACTCTCCATTCTCGGTACATATTCTATAACAGAAATCAGAAGGATGGCGAGCAGGTGGACAACTTTGTTACAGATGTAAAGTTGCTTGCAAATAATTGCAATTTTTGTAAATCTTGTAAAGATTCCATGATTCGCGACAAGTTAGTTCTTGGCACAATTGACAACGAATGTCAAAGAAATAAAAAAGGTGATCCATCGCTTGAAGATACAATTGAGACCTTGAGAGTGTCTGAATTGACTATGGGGCAAATTCAAGATATTCAAAAAACTGAAGTTCATTCTTTAAATAAATCACAAGGTCAAAGAACAATTCCAAATAGGGAACAAACTAAACATAAAGTATGTTCAAATTGTGGTTATAATCATATGGTATGGTCATTGCCCCGCTTTTAATAAAACCTGTTTAAAATGCAATAAAAAGAATCATTTTGCTAAAATGTGTCGTTCACTAGATAAAGTGCGAGTAAATGAAGTGAAAGCAGAAACTGAACTAGAATATTTTTGTGGAACAGTCACATACTATACTAACTTCATACTTGAATGACTCATTCAAAAGGGTCATCAATTAACATCAAGCTATGCTGCGCTGCTAGCTTCGATCAACAATAATTTTATCGAAGGCTTGATTATAATGAAGTTTGTATGGCCATGATTTATAATATATTTGTTTCTTCGGTGCGACTGAAAGAAATCGTTCGTGACAGATTGTATCAACTCCTCAAGTTCGCAGAATACTACATAAACATTTGATACGTCCTGTCACGAACATAGTCATGCAGCGTCCATATTTTAATAATAGCACAGCGCAATGCAACAAAGTTTAAAGTTTAATGGTCATACTTAAACTTACTCATTATCTTCGTTTTGTTTAAATAGTGATATGCGCTTATCTACTTTGTATTATCGCATGGGACAGACACTAGAGCTACGAATAATGCAACGTACTGATAAGCAGGACCAAAAGTCTTTGCGTTAAATTATAAACAAATAAAAATTTTTCATTCAAAATTTCTTCTTTTCATTTCTCTTTCATCATTCATTCTTCCGAGAACCGACTGACTCATTAATTCGATCCAGTCATATAAAACTAGTAATTTTTCCGTGGGTGCAGTTTTCTATAAAACAATTAGGTCTTTGTTGAGGTTATGTATCATGAGAACCAAGTTCATTATCTTTGAACGCAGTTTTTGATAAGCACGATGTCTTATCATCCTACTAAGCATGATTTGATTTAAGCAACTTAATGATTTAATTTAAATTATAAAATTAATTGATCGAAACGGATACTTTCAATAATAAAATGAATATTTTAAATTTTGTAATCGAATTCATAATTGAAGTCATTTTTCAGCTGCAATTAAATTTTTTATTAAGTGGAAGTCTCTAGGATTTATATGAATTTTTACATTAGATTCTTTACAGTAAAAGTTTCCAGTCCTAGATTTGCATACTAATGACACAACGTTACGACTTTCAATATCTTACACTATAAACTATCTTGAAGTTTGTAAACAATGCTCGTCTATAGTATGAATGTTTTGCATTAAATCAAATCACAATATAATTTTGTGAAAGTTAAGAGAATTACAGCAAGTCGTTCCCTGTGCAACAGTATAATTATACTTGTTCGTAGGACTTGCAGCCCTGGCGCGTACGCCAGGCTTTATAGTATAAGAGCTGGCAACGTTTTCGAGAATGAATTTTAGGTCGGCTAATTTTTGTATAATTCCCATTCTTATTGACAGTAGGTTGGGATGTGGTACGTCTGGCACCTGGAAGCGGTTGCGTTCAGTTGTGTGCATCCCACCTGTACAGGTAAAAATTGTACATTTTGAAATCATTTCAAATTTCATATGTCTCGTTAGCTATATAAAACCATAATTGCCAGACACTTTTGTCGTTGCTAACATTGCCCCAGACACAATTTCAATAATTAAAAAATAATTATTTTTAAACAATTTTAGTATGTCTGTAATTTTGATATAATGTAGTTCAGCAATAAAGAAATATGATAAAAATTTACCAGACAGAAATTCTGTTGCTTAATGAGAATTTAAATTAATTTAAGTTTCGGGGAGAATAGGTGAGTTAGAAGAGTGCGGAAACTAATTCGTCGGTTGTGTGAGAGATATAGCTGCGACAGAGAGCGGTAGAGGGAGAGAAGTATAGCCACAGCTGCTATTTTCAACATGGCGTCACCTACACGAGTATAAACGCTTGTATTTTGTTGTCTCGTGTCTTTTAATAGAAAAGTTCAATATAACTGTAGTAGTAAGTACATCGAAGCTCGGAAAATACGGGAGAAAATCGTATTCCCATTTTTCGGAGATAACCCATTTTTTCTCTCAATTGCCTCAAAAAGTGTAAAAAATTGGAAATATTCGGAAGATTCGGAGAAATTTTGAGAAATTTCGGAGAAAATTTTCCACAAGGGATACCAATTCTACCCCCTCTGAGCGCCGCACTCTTATAATTAACCTATTCTCTCCGAAACTTAAATTCTTATTAAGTAACGGAATTTCTGTCTGGCAAATTTTTCTCATATTTTTTTATTGCTGAACTACATTATATCAAAGTTACAGACATACTAAAATTGTTTAAAAATAATTATTTTTAATTTTTGAAATTGTGTCTGGGGCAAGGTTAGCAACGACAAAAATATCTGGCAATTATAAATTTATATTGCTAACGAGACACATAAAATTTCTAAAAAAAAATTGTCTTAAAATGATTTCAAAATGCACAATTCTTACCTGTACAAGTAGGATGCGCGCAACTGAACGCAACGGCTTCTGGGTGCCAGACATACCGCATCCCAACCCACTGTCAATAAGAATGGGAATTATACGAAAATTAGCCGACCTAAAATGAACTTTTTCGTGACGTCGCTAGCTCTTAATTAGTAATGGAAATGAAATTTTTAACTTACAAAGATCCCGTTAAGCCCGGCAATTAGACGCAAGCCCCACTGGCCGGGTTCCGAATGGCATTGTTTTTGCACTGGCACGTTTGCTCACAGTTGTCGCCCAAGCTGGGTGGATTACAAGCTTGCTTGCAAGACTTACCGCGCCACCGAGTCGCAAACGCCAGGCGTTAGTAATAATAGAGATAAAAATATTTATAGACTTACAATGGTCCCGTGAAACCGGCAAGCAGTCGCAAGCACCGCCAGCCCTGTTGGAAGTGGCGTTATTCTTGCACTGACAAGTCTTCTCGCAGTTGTCGACGAAGTTGTATAAATTGCACGCTTTCTCGCAAGACTGCCGCGCAACCCGGATGTGCACGCATACTCGCCCTTCAAAGGCTCGCATAAAGTATTAGATATTACAATGTAGACTTACAGTGGTCCCGTGAAGCCCGGCAAGCAGTCACAAGCACCGCTAGCCGGGTTACAAGTGGCGCTATTCTTGCACTGGCACGTTTGCTCGCAGTTGTCGCCGAAGCTGGGCGGATTGCACGCTTGCTCGCAAGACTTGCCGCGCCACCCGGGCGCGCACGCACATTCACCCGTCAAAGGCTCGCATATGCCTCCATTCACGCAGTGGCAAGAATTCTGACAGTTGCGACCCCACTTCCCCTCCGGACACGCTACGGTTTAAATAATTCATATTTCACATAAATTTCACTTTGGTAATTGTCGACGTAAGAGTAATTTAAACAAATTATTTATAGCGAGGTAACGACAATTTTGGACGTGTCATTTTGTATTTATTTTTAATGGCAAGTGCAAGTCCATTTGTGTAGACATTTATTATTTTATGCTAGTGTATAATGCAGTCTACAGTCAGAGATAAAATTATGTACCTACATAATTATAGGACTTCAACCTAACCATTCCTTTGAAAGTAAAGGAATTAATACTGAATCAATCTATTGTTACAACTGTTTTTCTTCTCACAGTTGCCAATCCACGGGAAGACAAAGTACTTACATAAAGGAATCAACAATAATTATCAACACAATATCAATAAATTGTATTCATTACTGATACTGTCCAAAGTATGTAATAACATCATGTTTATTAGATATAAAACATATACACGCTTGATTAATTCAATAACATTGTTTAAGCCCTGTCACATAATCAAAATGTAATGAATGTATACTAAGAATTTGTTATAGACAAACAAAGGCTTCCATTTCTAGCTAATAATTTCAATAATAATTAAATTAATAGAGATAGGGAACAGTGGAAAGCCATTCGAATTAGAGCATCAGTATGTGGAAGTATCCTCCACCCTTACAAAACCCTGAAAAACAATCAATAGTTTTTAAAGATGAGAGCGGCTGGTGCGGCTTATATCTTTAGCCCATTAATTTTGGTTTTAATTAAATTCAGGTGAAATATCTTAAAAAAACTCTGGTGTTGGTATTTTATAAAAACTTTTTAACGATAATAAAAACCGACTTTATAAATCAAAACTACTAAAATGTAAGAAAAATGAATATTCTTTACTTATGTCTACATTTAAAGAATCATTTGTTGCCATGTATGTTAATAGATCTGAGTTGCCATAATTACTGCTTGGGTTGGCATGGCACGGCACCGACTCGCAATGTTTATTTAACTTTAAACGTTATACTGTTCATATTTCAGGAGTTCCGTTGTTTATCTACGAAAGTATTTATCAGATCTTCATCAATATTACAAAAAGAATCATCGAAATCGGTTGGCGTGATATTGAGTTATTCGTCCATTTGTCGTGCACAAAGTAAATGCAAATTTAAGACCTAAGTATATGGTTTTCTCATGGATGCCATTGTCAGAATAGGACCACACGGGAAGTACCAGTATTAAAAAAAAAGATTCATCAGAATCGGTTCACCCACTGGAAAGTTCTGAGGTAACAAACATAAAAAAATAAAATAAAAATACAGTGGAATTGAGAACCTCCTCCTTTAAGTCGGTTGAAAATAGTATTTAAAGCATAACCGATATTGGTACTGACATATATCACAGGCAGGTCCCCCATATCCGTGCGCACACGCACACGTATTTGGCGCCACGCATGTCCCGTACACGCAACTATTAACGCACACAGGCACACACTGCTGCCCCCGCTCGTCGGGAGCGTAACCCGCACAGCATTCTTCCACCGGCCTGTGTTTCACAAGTGTCTCTGTCTTGAACACCTCACGAAACTTTATCTTGTACTTCGAACATCGCGGAGGCACGTTAAAGCACCAAGCGTATTCTTTCGATTGATATGGTTGCTTCTCTGAAACTCGGATTGTCGTTGTGTACCTGCAAAAAAACACAGAGTTCATGGCCTTATCTTTTTTGTTGCCTTATACTTATTTAACCGCTTTCTCATCGCTTCAATGTATAAAGTAACAAAGATAGGAAAACGTTTAAAGCAACCATTCTTACAAAGACCTTCGATGATAACGCGTCGACTCAGCGCTCTTTGTTTCCTACGCGAGTAAACAATGGGTTCGTTACTACATGATTCGCTGAACTCGCAAAACGCTTTAAATAACATGTTCCAGACAGAAAAAGAAGTCGTGTGGCAGGAAGGGAACCCCGATAAAAGTTAACTGACCCGATGAACAATGGCGTTGATCAGCGGTAATCAGTCGCCCCAACATTCACAAAACCAATAACAAACCATATTGCTACTGGACCGTGAACACATACATTGCGTGTGAACAATGACGACGACATCAATTCGTCATTTATTATCTAAACAACTATCGGTTTTCGTACAGTTAACCTGTTATAAATTTTACCCTGTAAATTTAACCTACTATTTTAATTATATTTTCCAAAATATTAAAAAATAACTATTGTCTTATCTACTATTCAGCAATCGAAGAAGTTGATTTTAACATTTATTGATGCCGGATTACAATGAGATAATCGTAATTGATTCTACAGGCATAACCTGCATATCATATTCAAGACATCATGTTGCTTTATTAACAACAGTCATAAATTAACATACTAATTACAGGATGTCACACGATATAGGTGAAGAATTATTTATGATTGTTATGACTGATGCCTAAATATCAGTCTTCTAAGAAGAAAAAACAACATGAGATGGTAATCTTAGACTAACATTCATTACATTCGCAGAAAAACAAGTAGGTAAGTATAAAAGTATGCACTTAATACAAAGAATTTCTTTGTAAAAAGAATCTTAAGATATAAGTAGAAATCAAATAAAAATCAAATATGAATAAGCTGGTACATACATATATATATCTCTAGTCTGATAGTGGCTTGGTAAATTGAAATCGTAATTTGTGTCATCCTCATCTAATATGTAATGCTATTTAAATATAAATTTCATAGATGTATGTCAAAATTTGTATGTTTATTAGCCTAAAAACGATCGGATGGATATGAAATAAAATTGGTACACAGTAATACCTGAATTGGGACATAGAACAACCTTTATCCCGGAGAAAGTTAGGTTCCTATGAGACTATCAAAAACGATTGAATTTATTTACAGTACCTGGTCTTATCAATAGAAGACGGATCTATATATCCCTTCCATAGGTTCCCTAGGTTATTTTTCAAAAATAGATTTTAATACCTATCCTAGCGAAATCATCTTATAATTTATCTATTACTAGCGGCCGGCCGTGACTTCGTCCGTTTTAACTTTAGTTTTTTGCGAATCCATCAGGAACCCAGCATTTTTTTGGGATAAAAAGTATCTTATGTTTCAATCCAGGTAATAAACTATATGTGTGACAAATTTTATCCAAAGCCGTTTTTGCATGTTTGAGTGAAAGGGTGAGGCCAAACGAGCGTAATTTTGTGAGTGGTGAGTTGCAGAAATTCTGCTGCATTCGGTTTCATACAAAAAGGCAGTTGGTGCCACACGACAACGCAAAATGAGTTGTCTGCCGACTCAATGCGCATAAGCTTGTCCGAATTTCGGTCGGGGTGAGGGTAGGGCAAGGAAGGGGAGTGGGGAAGCAACAGTTTGTTACAAGTTCCGTGGTGTAATAATTCTTGAAAAACACGTAATGGCATATGATAGTACTTTTTAAACATATCTGGATTTGCACATAAACGTTCATATAAAGTATGGAACTGTCCACATATCAGCCTCTGACTATTCAGTGGGTTTACCCAGTTTCTTTTCCTGGCCTCATCTTCTGAATATGCTTCGTAAATACACAATATTTTTAATGGATCCATTGCACTCGACGACACGAACACCCCGTACTAACGCTCAATAGTAACTGAATAAATTACGTTCGTATGGCAGCTCAACAGAAATTCAGTTGAACGTAAAATAAGTGACCGAAAATAAGCGACTCACAACTCACAAAATTACGCTCGTTTGGCTTCATCCAAAAACAAACAAACTCACTTTCGTATTTATAATATTAAAAGTTGGGATTTGGTAAAACAATAATGTGTTTTGTTGATTATTTAATAAAACAACAATTGTGCTTACGTTTCCATCCTGGTGCAAACATGTGGACCTTCGAGAAATGCGTGTGCAACTGCACACAGCAGCAACAGCGTACCAGCCCCCGACCACATCTTTTGGTTTCTGTTCACACAATTTCAAACCAATTCTCCATAACAAATCTTTTGTTTGAGCGAAGTTACGTCACAATATGCCTCCAATATGCACTCGAGTAAGACTCCAGCTCTATTATAGCAGTCTTAAAATTGTTCCGGGCAATCTGTAAAAAATAATGAATGTTCATTCTCACAATACTCAAATGAAAATATTTTGTACTGCGAGATAAGAATACTGAACAAACTATGCGCGCGGCATGCGCTACCATATGATCATCATGGGGACATTACCTTAATGAAACGTGAGAAAGTATCTAAACAAAAAGAAGGTTAAAAGGTAGTAGCTGGTTGACTAATAAAATTAAAATCACGTCTCAAGCCAATGATTAATAAATTCAATGCTGTCTTAATGTTTCGGATTGCATGATAATGATAAATTAATAACATAAAGCATCATTTTTGGTGGCATATTTCACATGAAAGAGTTCCGTATTTATATCACGCGTTTCTATAAATTCACTGTTATTATTGAAAAATATATTTTAAAAATAATTATTGTGTGGTTTTATACTGTATGTCATAGGATGATTTGATAAATTGAATTATCTTGAAAATCCTAGGGATTTTGTGAAAACGCTAATGAATAGACAATCCTATCTTTTTCAGTAAGATTGAGAAGTGTCATCATCGCCATTGTCTAATTATCCGCGTTTTCGCAAAATCGGTAGGATTTTCCGCGAGAATTAGATATAGTATCAAATCATCCTACGACATATTCGTAGTCATTCATTTAATTTTGTGAGCTTCCTATCGAAATATACCTATGTAGGAAGAACCGCATAATAGTGCATCGCTACGCTAAATTTGTCGTAAAATCTTGCTCGTCTCTTTCGGTCATAGTGGGCGTGAGGCAGCAAATTCTCGCAAATAAAAAAGTTAATTTAGTAAGGACAACCGGCGAATCGAAACTGTCAAACCTTGTACTTACTATTTAGTTATTCTGTGGTACGAATTTATTTATAAATTACGGTACGTCGCCAATACTTTCTAAGTCTTTACTAATGAAATGACTTCATGTTGCTAGTTTTGTTTATCTGGGTCGTTACGTAATAAAAATAAATACTGCTAAGTGTTTACTTTATAAATGCATAGTCATATTGTACCTTCAGTTTCTTTGTTCGACATCGCTTGATGGTTTTGCTACTATTACAACAGTATTTTTTTATTAAGGAAGATCCTAAATAAAACTTATAAATTATTTAAAATAAAAGGGCAAAGTGTAAATTGGATTCGCATTTAAAGATTCCGTATCCGTATTGTAAGTCGCAAACCGATACGGGTGCACATCAGAGTGCATCCGTATTCTAAGGGCACTATGCAGTAGTATTTACTAAGGCAGCGCTGCATTATCCCCTTCTCAGGGAATGATCGCATTAGACGAAGCCTGTAAAGCCCTTTTGGGCATAGGCATCCCCCACGTGTGTTTTAGTCAGTAAAAGTCTGACATAACCCTACAGCCGGCTGTAGGGTATCCATGAGGATTTCACACTCGCCCCGCCTGGGAGTAAACAAAAAAAAGTATTGTTAAGATACGGTTGCCAACCGACCGGTTTTTCGGGATGTCTTTGGACGTCCTGGATAGTATCTAAGAAGAGACCTGGGTATTTAAAAGCGCGGATTTCAGTTTTAAAAGAAAAGAAGATGAGGTCGCGAAGGTCCCCCAGAAACATGAGGTCACGTATTGAAATGTCAATTTATAACTACATTTAACAGAATTTAAATAACATTTAATAAGATGATCACTGACACATTAATGGCATATTAAAATTATGATAAACTTACACACAATTTTATCATCAGATAAATATATGGATATATCAAAATACTTTTGATTCAATTAAATTAGTAGAGTGTGTAAAGTTATAAAATATATTAGATTTTCATTATTACATCATTACATAGCTCTACAAACTACGCAGCATTGGTCATGATGGTACATAATATAATAATAATAGGACATATTACACCAACACTACACTCATTTGCATTTCAATAAGCGACCAATGATTTTTGGACAACTCGACAGACACACGAACGAAAAATGGTAATATATTGGGATTTATTCGAGCGCAGCAGAAAAAAATATAAGAAGGGCAACCTTCCACCTTGTGAGGTACTCCCACCATACCTTAGCCATATGTATGGGGCCGAACGTCTTGGGCAGCAAATAAAATTCAACCAACCGTCATGACATTTGGTCGTGTCCAAATCGTCAGTCTTTGAATAGGAGGTACTGCAGAATTCACGCAATGCAACCATTCTCAATGTCTGACGCGCTCGAATATTTTGTTTTCCTATATTCTACCCCCCTCGTGAGGCCACTCCCACACCATGAACGACAGGCCCTCAAGATCGTCTTCTGCCGCGCTCGAAAACTATGCTATTGTGGCAGCGACATCTATATGCCCCACAGATATACAACGGATATAACAAATCATTACTCACCATACTCAAAAGATGGCGTTACCTGCACTGCGATCAATAATAGTATGGAAGCCTACATCGCGCAAATGAAATTCGGAAGCTAACTCTTCATATATACGATGCCCGACCAACATCAGTCGGGCCGCGGCCCCCGAGCTAACATCACCCAGCTCGGAGGAAGATCTTCCCCTTTGGCCTACCTACACTATAAAAAGAAAAGCCAAACACAACTGAATTCTTGCAGCAGACACACACCGTGCTAAGGCCCACTTGTACCAAAGCCACAGCTCTTACTTATTATTTCTCCTTTAAGAAAATGTTTATGTTAGTCAGAATATCAGTATTTCTTTACAAGAATAAATACCTACATTTAATAAATATATATTATTAAATATCTGTCACAGGGGTATAGCAAACTTCTTTACACGACTTTTCTTCTACTAATACTCATTTATAACAATAGCGTTATAGGTAAGTTTACCCAATTAAAAAATAAACAATTAAATGTTTACCTTCAAATTTGTTCAAAACAATTGCTCAGCTATTATATTAGTGAATAAACAAACCCTACTAATAATAAAACGGGTCCATGAATATCTACTACTTATGGTAGACCGCTATGAAAATCCAAAAGGAATGCAATTATTGGGGAGATGTTGCTCTACCGATACCTATGCGTACGTCACGAGTTCATAGTACGACCTAGCCATTATTCTGAGGTCTCTGATTAGCGTTAATGATACAAAATAGCCCACAAAAAGTGAAAGTTCAAAAAGAGTAACCGGAACGTCAGAATCAGGACATAAAATAAATTATATTGGCAAAAAAAAAGTATTTTAATGGTGTCAATTACCTTGACCAATTGGTGGGGCCGGACAACGAACCAGCCATCATATTATCATACATATTACTTTAGTTCGTGCACGAATTTTTGATAATATAGCTATGTTTATAATGCAAGATCACCGGAAGTTCATAGAACAATATCCGTGTGCTATTGATAAAGTAAACAAAACTTTTATTGTTCCGACATTGGTTCCTACAACCTAGTTTGACGCTTTCATTCATGAATGCACCATTCAAAAGAAGCTATAGTAATGATATTAAGTACCTAAACATTTTGCCCTATGTAATCCTGTTACTGTAATTTCCACGTCCACTGTCCCTCAGTCGGCGGACAGTAAAATAAATAAATAAATGGTTATGTGATGACAATATTTTTCCTATTTAATGTAACTTTGTGTGCGAGTCAAACTCGCCTTTGATCATTTTTTTTTTATAAAATCAAACTTACTATGCAAACACTTTACGATCATTGCAAATATAAAAAATAATTAATAGACGAGGCAGCTTCAGTGCGAAGACAAACAATTGAGGTTGTTAGATATTAATATGAGTAAAAGAGGTCACCCACCATTGCATCGTGTGGGCAAACATTCGAGTGTTTGGAACAAGTGAAGAAAGTAGAGCGTAGTGGCTATTTGCATGTTAGCGGTTTCATATTGTACGTAGGTAGGTGTCACTGCGTCACTAATAGACACTTATGTCCGCTCCTCGTGTCTCGCGCACTGGGCCAGAACATCAAAATGTTATCAGATCATATAAGAAGCAGTTTCATGCATTCCTAATTAGATTATGATTAATTTACTACGAGTTCAAGCCCAACTGTAGATTTAGTGCAATCAAACATTAGCCCAATATTATTGAACGAAGTCAGCTTGGACTCTAGTAAAGGAGTGATTTTTCTCTGACCTTCGAATTACAAAAAGTTTTCTCTGTCCTTCGAATTACTAAGTGTTGTGGAGAAAACATATTAAGTTTAAAAGCATAATCTTAGTCTTAGAGAGTATTAAATGTATATGTTACCAGCAATCAGTATAATTCAGGAATTGACCCAACCCCCACAATAGATATTAGGAGTACAACTATGACATATTTTAACAAAAAGATAAACCTTATAATGTCGAGCTTAAAATATATTTTTTAACAATAACTAATCACAATTTTATTTTGCAAACAGTTTCTGTATGTATCTGTCGACCATATGTAGAACAAAAACAGGAATAGCAATGTGGGATAGGATTAGTCACACGTTATAGTTAGCAAACCATTCAGATACACATACTGACTACCACGAAGAGATACAATGGTCACAATACCGGATACAAAGCCTGAAAATTTTAAAAGCAGCGGGGATTTACATGGTCTTTTGTGCAATGATTAAACTGGGTGGTAATGTGGTGGTAATGGCTTTTGGTTGCTTGTTGGTTCTTATGTAATCTTTGCTGGGAGGGCAGAAAGGTTTCGACCTCAGTTTCGACGGACTTAAGGCGCGCGGTCATCGCTCCCTTTCGGTTAAATTTCCCTTAGCCCGTATGTATAAAACCATTATTGTATTATATTATTGTATAGAGCCATTAATTCGATCAGCTTAGCGGCAAACTGTGCGGGAAAATAATTAAAAGGATAATGAGGGTGAATTCCGATGGAATGCTGTGTGAGGCACAGGGGGGATGCACGGACCAAGTTTTCTC